TCATAGAAGGATTCAGCAGAATAGCGAAACCACTGTACAACAGAACGAAAAAGAATCAGAAATGGGAATGGGGAGAGCGGGAGCAAAAAGCCTTTGAAGGTCTTAAGGAAAGACTCACCACAACCCCGATACTAAGACACTTCGACCCTGAGGCACCTATCATGATAGAAACAGACGCGTCCAACTATGTCTGTTCTGGAATCATATCGCAACAAGATAAGGAAGGATTATGGAAACCAATAGCCTACCGGTCAAAAACCATGACCAAGGCAGAATGCAACTATGACATACATGACAAGGAACTTCTAGCAATCATGCAAGCCCTCAAGGAATGGAGGAAATATGTACAAGGAAGTCCCCACACAGTCAAGATTCTTACAGACCACAAAAACCTTGTCCCATTCACAACCACCAAGACCCTAAATGGAAGACAAATACGATGGAGTGAAGAACTCAGTCAATACAATATCAGGATTGAATACCGACCAGGGAAAGAAGGGGCAAAACCGGATGCCCTCACACGAAGAACAAATGACATACCAAAGGAAGGAGACGATCGCATTACCCAAAAACAAAGAATCCTGTTACCGAAGGAACAATTCTTTGAAGATGAAGGGTACGCCTCAGGTTCAGAAGAAATCAACACCATGGAACTATGGACGATAGAAGACCAAGATACTGCAAAAGATATTAAGGAAAAAACATCACGAGATGTATTGCTTCAGGATATCCGAAAAGCCATAGAAAGGAAGGATAAAGAATATCCAAAAGTCGCCTTAGGATCATGCAACTGGAAAGAAGGATATATGTGGTACGAAGGAAAAATCTGGTTGCCAGAAGATGAACCGACGAGAACCGAAGCAATCAAAAGAAATCACGACACACCACAAAATGGACATGGTGGAACACCCAAGACACTGGAATTAACACAACGAACATACTACTGGCCAGGTATGCGCCAAGACATTAAGCGATATGTCAAAAACTGTGACATGTGTCAAAGAATAAAACCAAGTCGTCATGCGCCATATGGACTATTGCAACCATTACAAATACCAGAGAAACCATGGAAATCCATCGGTATGGATTTCATCACAGACTTGCCACTATTGAACAACTATGATGCCATATGGGTCGTTGTGGATCGCCTGACCAAGATGGCTCATTTCATACCCTGCCGAAAGGATATGAAAACGGGAGAATTCACACAACTGTTCATGAAAAATGTCTTCAAACTGCATGGATTACCGAAAGACATCATCAGCGACAGAGGATCAATATTCACATCGGACCTATGGAAAGAAATGACCAAAGGATTGGATATCACCCGAAAGATAAGCACAGCATTTCACCCCCAAACGGATGGTCAAACAGAAAGAACAAATGCCTCACTAGAACAATTCTTAAGGGCATACGTGGAATACTCCCAACAAGATTGGGAAGGATGGCTATCATTTGCGGAGTTTGCATACAATAACACAAGACAAGACGTCATTAAAACAACACCCTTCTATGCGAACTATGGACATCACCCCATTAACGAACCCATGGGACATACAGGATTACCGGGAATATTAGAAAAACAAGATATCAGCAGACTACACGGACTTATCCAGACAGAAATCCAAATGGCACAAGACAGGATGAAGGAAAACAACGATCGCCACAGAAAACCCGATCCAAGACTAAAAACTGGAGACAAAGTCTGGTTAATGACGAAAGATATTCAAACCACGAGGCCATCAAAGAAACTGGATTACCGGAAAATTGGACCATACAAAATCATTGAAAAAATCGGAGAAAAAGCTTATAAGCTAGACCTCCCAGCCTCAATGAAAACGAAACATCCAGTCTTCCACATCAGCAAACTCGAACTTTACTCCGACAATCCTCTACCCTCACAGAAGAAACTTCCCCCTCCTCCTATAGAAATAGAAGGAGAAAACGAATACGAACTTGATCAAATCGTTGATTCAAGACTACACTACGGAAAGATACAATACCGAGCCAAGTGGACCGGTTACACTGCACAACACAACCAAGAGTGGTACCCGGCAGAAAACTTCAGCAACGCCGACTATGCAATCAAATACTTCCACCGAAAAAACCCAGGAAAACCTGGTCAAAGAGGAGGAACAAATAAGCGACAAAGATTGGATCAATCTAGTCGATCTCCCCGCATCCAAGCCAATTACACCCGAACAGGAGAAACACAATCAGGGAAACTGGACGGGCTGTTTCGACGATGGATGCTGAGTACACTTTACGGAAAAAGAAGGGGCCGATTATTGGCCGAAAAAATACAGAACCCCCATACAACCACTCGAACCACCCATGATGACATGGGAAGAAATGTCACCACCCCCGAGAACACCACCCCGGTCGCCATGCGACAACAACATCCTTTTGACGGCAAAGCAAGTAAAGTTTTCAGGGACGAAAACAAAGAGAAGGGGGGGCAAAAAATCTTGGCCCAAGAAAGATGGAGACCAGTTGGAAAATTGTCCAATGATAACCCATACCGATTCCTTCGAGACGAAGGAATCATTGAAGAGGAAACTCGAGGAAAAGGAAGAGCAAATTAAAGAGCTGGAGGCGGAGAAGAAATGGTCAAAAGGAGAGAGAGCAGGCAAGGATATCAGAATCCGAGCCCTGGAAAGAGAGCTAGCAAGAGAACACTATGCGAGGAAGGAAGAGGAAAAAAGATTCAGTAGGATTGCAGGAGATATGGCACACATCCGCAGAAATATAAAGAAAGATGTGGACTATGAAAAATATCAGCACGAATCCTCAAGGGACTGAGGATTTAGGGAGAGGGGAGCTAGTATTACAAACCCGGCATGGTTTGTAATGGTTTCACATGACATACAATTGAATGTCATAGTATTTCATTTGTTAAAGGTTTTTCACATGACTCAGTTGAGTCATACGATGATATGTTTTCACACTATGACTCAGGTACGAGTCATAGGGTTTCACATGATTCACAGTTGTGAGTCATAGTTGTTTATGTTTGAATTTGATTGGTATGTTGAGCATTGACTCATAGGTACGCCTATGAGTCATGAGGATTAAGAGGCATGACTTCGTTTATACGAGTCATGAGGTTTCGCACATGACCCCTTTAAGGTCATGGGACTTTTGCACATGACCAAGTATGGTCATGAGGTTATATGTTACGCGAGTGTATGAGTCACAGTTGTGACTCATTTGATTTGTAAGCGGGTTGCTTGAAGAACTATATAAGGAGGTCGATAGGACCTGATAGTTAGTTCTTCACGCAACCACCTAAGTTATTCCCTATCTTATAAGTTATCAATAAAACACCATTACGCTCTTTATCTACAAGATCAACAACTGCGGACACGAACAGATTAATACTAGTTAGCACTATAAGGACTTAGTATTGACAACGGTCAATATCTAAGACGTGGTGTAAGATAACAAGTATTAAAGATTCTCGAAGAACGGAGAATACAATAGAAGGTAAGTATTACCTTAACAAAGACTAACTAAAGACTCGTTGCCTGTTGCAAGATATAAATAGGAGAGATCATATAACGGATCGTAACAGTATCGATAACATAGAAATTTGTTATTGACACCTCTTGGTATCATGACCACAGTACCGCTAAAAGCCGATTTTCTTTGTTTATTCTAAGGATATTTCTATACCATAATAGGCATAGAAATATCTTTTTTGAATAAAAAAAGAAAATGGGGTTTTCGCTATACGGTTGTCATGATGCCGGGAACATCATGCATCAATGCTGCCAAGAGGTGTTGATGAAACAGAAATATATATAATCGACACCTCTGGGTATCATGACAATAGTAGCACCAAAAGCTGATTTTCTTTTTTTATTCAAAGGATATTTCTATACCATAATAGGTATATAAATATCTTTTCAATAAAAAAATAAAGTTGGCTTTTCACTGTACCGTTGTCATGATGCCGGGGATGTCGTGCATCGATGCTGCCAAGAGGTGTTGATAACACAGAAATATGTTATTGACACCTCTTGGTATCACGACAACAGTACCACCAAAAGCAGATTTTCTTTTTTTATTCAAAGGATATTTCTATACCATAATAGGTATAGAAATATCTTTTCAATCAAAAAATAAAGTTGACTTTTTGCCTTACAGTTGTCGCGATGCCAGGGACATCATGCATCAATGCTGCCAAGAGGTGTCGATAAAATAGAAATATATGTTATCGACACCTCTTGGTATCATGACCACAGTACTTACCCATTCCAAAAGTATCCAGAAATGTGGAATGATGGCTTGGTGCCAAGATGCCAAGATAAACATGTATTTAACCAATTATCCAAAACATTGTCATGACTCCTATTAGTAAAACAATGACACATGCTGTGATAAAGTGAGGTAAGTCACAGGCAATACATATATTAATCTTGCTTAGGTACTAATTATTGAGAATTTAGGAAAAGAGATCACCCCTCACCAGAGGGCAGCAATTGTGACACTCCAGATCCTCCCTAAACCATTAACTTTCCAAAAAATCAAAGAACTTACCGGCATTCCAATCTCAACAGCAAATAATATATGGTTACACGTTGTAGATAATGCTTGGAGGAACCAACTTGCCAATGGTGGAGATTTAGAAGAGCCACTGTCCTTGATGGAGTTAGTGGATTCTAAATGCTTGGATCCAGATACTTGTTCTGGGTGGCCGGAAGCCTTAACAGAAGATGAGAAGGATTGCCTCATCACTACCATCAAGAGAGATTTCAAAACACAGAGGATGAAACTCGTTGATCTCCGCAGGGAGGCCGGCTTGTCGCATGTAGGCGATGGTACAGTTCATAGAGCCTTGGTCTCGCGAGGCTTGCATGCGTACCATGAAGAGTTCAAGCCTATTTTAGGTCCTGAACATAGGTTAAACCATCTAGTAAGCACTCCTCTTCTGTACTCTTGCAGCTCCCAGTGGGTGGAAGCCAGACATCTAAAGTGACAATTCCTATACAAATCACCCAGTTTTAACTCCACTGTGTAGGGATTCATTTTCTTTCTCAAAAAAAAAGACAAAACTAATATGAAATAAAATAGAACTACTGTTGTGCTAGAGGGACCTGGCATCCAGCGGTCAAATGGGCAGACTACATGTTTACTGACGAGATGTCAATTGAGGTCGGTGCTGTTTTTGGGCAATCTCTTGTCTGGAGGGAATAAGGAGAAAAGTTGCACAATGACTGTGTTGGCACCAAAAAAAAAATGGTACTTCATTGATGTGCTGGGGAGCTATTGGGTGGTGATGGAAAGGTCCTTTTGTTATGTGGCCAGCAGTGACAAAGGAGGAGAAGAAGAAGGCAAAAGAAGAGATTGCTATTACAAACCCGGCATGGTTTGTAATGGTTTCACATGACATACAATTATATGTCATAGTATTTCATTTGTTAAAGGTTTCACACTATGACTCACAAACGAGTCATAGGCTCTCACATGATTCACAGTTGTGAGTAATAGTTGTTTATATTTGAATTTGATTGGTATGATGAGCATTGACTCATGGCTGCGCCTATGAGTCATGAGGATGAAGAGGTATGACTTTGTTATACGAGTCATGAGGTTTCGCACATGATACCTTTAAGGTCATGAGGTTATATGTTACGCGACTGCATGAGTCACAGTTGTGACTCATTTGATTTGTAAGCAGGTTGCTGGAAGAACTATATAAGAAGGTTGATAGGACCTAATAGTTAGTTCTTCACACAACCACCTAAGTTATTTCCTATCTTATAAGTTATCAATAAAACACATTTACGCTCTTTACTACAAAGGCCAACAATCACAAAGAGGAACAGAATCAATACTAGTTAGCATTATAAGGACTTAGTATTGACAACGGTCAATATCTAAGTTGTAGTGTAAGATAACAAGTATTGAGAATTCTCGAAGGAAAGAGAATACAATAAGAGATAGGTGAGTATTATGTCTAAGAAACAAAAAGCTAATGATAGGCTCGTTGCCTGTTGCGAGATATAAGAAAGGAGAGATCTTATAGCTGACCATAACATTTGGTTGCTTCCCCAAGCAACAACCAACAACAACACAGATTTCAAATATGACGACCAATCCTTAGAACTCTCAGAGGTTGCACATGAACTTACAAGAACAGCCTCGGAAAGAGGGAGAACACCAAGTCCAGTTACACCAGAAGAAAGGTCACAACATAACGAATCGTCAAGCAAGGAAGGAGAAAGAACGGAAAGAATGTTGGGCCAAGGACAAGCAGTGGGACAAGCTGCAAACCCACTACCAGCAGAAGAAGAACCACTTGTACAACCAGTGCAGATACTACAAGCCATGAACGTTCCGAAACCGAAGGTTAAACCACCAAGCACCTACACAGGTGATATAAAAGAACTCAGGAACTGGCTAGCGGAACTGCAAATCTACTTCCAAGCAGGAGGATGGGCAGAAGAACACAAGGAAGAAAAAATCACATATGTATCCAGTCTACTAAGAAAAGAGGCAAGTTCATGGCTCACACCCTAGTATATGGAAGGAATAAGAACCAAACCCTGGAACAACTGGGAAGAATTCAGGGAATCAATTAAAAACCAATTTGGAGAAATTGATCCAAGGGGAACAGCGAGAATACAACTCAAAAATATGGTCCAAGGAACTCAGAATATGACAGAATACTGGAACAAGTTCAAACTGGCCCTAACAGAAGCGGAATTGGACAACACGACAGCAGGAGAATGGCTATACGTGGGAATGAACCTGAAATTGCAAGAAGAATTTGATCATTACAATCAAACAATCATGGTAGCAGACCAATTAGCAGTATGGGCTATGAACAAAGAAATTTGACTGGCCACACTCAAACATCTGCACCAGGCAAAGAAAGTCAAGACAGAGACATATGGCACCCCAAGGAACCAAGATGGCACGTTTAAAACGACACCCAAGGAAATTCCGCAAGGGGACCCTATGAATCTGGATGCCACAAACCAGAGAAAGTATCAGAGACTGCCCCAGGATGAATGGAAAAAACACATGAAAGAAGGATTATGCCACCAATGTGGGAGAAGGGGTCACCTAGCAAAAAACTGTCGAATCAAGAAAACCAACAATGGACCAAAGATCCGAAAACTAGATGTGGAAAAGGAGGAAGAAGAAGCTTTAAATGACCAAAGTCCCCAAGAATAGATGGTTCTGGGGACAATAGAATAAAACCCATCAAAAGAGGGAGGACATCCCCAGGAAAGGATGGGCCAGGGGACGACAAAATAAGAAACATCAAGATCGCACACCTTCTGTATCTCACCTCAATGCTATATATGAAAGGATACTTAGAAAAATGAGTGATATTTCATGATCACACCTCACTAAAACTATGGTTTGTATTACATGCATATCATTATGGTCCCCATATTGTACCCCCTCATTACTCTCCCCTCCTCATTACATTGATCAAGTATTTTAACTCATTACACCTCGAACTCTTGTACCCTTATGAGTTTGTCTCTGGTCACTCTTGATCTAGTACTTCTTCTCTGATACTTACTTACCCTACTACTGTCTAAAGTACACACTCTTGTTGTCCTCAACTCCAGATATTGTATCTCTATATGGTTACTATGTCAGGGACCGGCCACCCTCTTTTTGATATCATTTCTACTATTTCTCCATGGCTATTTTGATCCCTAATATTCTTGCTTCCAAGTTTATTCATAATACTATTGTAACTTCTAGTTACTATCCTCAGTCAGCACACTCTGACTATACCTTTTTTAGATATTATTGTTTTGCTTTCCTGATGCCCTTTAGTCCTAACACTGTACTTCTATGGTAGCCTATTAGCTATTCAGACCCATGGCTACCCCACATCTATGTGTTTTCATTTTGCTGTAGATCCCTCTAGTTGCTATCCTCAGGTAGTTTCCTGCAGCTATCTGAATTCTGGATATTATCTCCTGGGATTCTCAACCACCTTGAGTCCTGATACTGATCTCCTTTCCTAATTATTCAGATGAAAATGGTCTTAGAATTCACATCCTGCCTTTGCTAAGTACAACTTGACTATACTGCCTAGTTTAGATTTGTTTCCATATTATTTTACATAGTTCATAATTTTTATCATGACACAATCATATACAGCCACTGGTCAGAAGTATTCATGAAACATTTTTTTTGGCTTACTAAGCTACCTTGCAAAAATGCCAGATTGCAACCATCAATGTGAACAGTATTACTATTACAATCATAACATACCCAAACAATTTATACTCTGGCCATGACCACCTGCCCCTTTATCCTTTAATTATGGTTTACCAATCTGGATATACAAAACCCTCAGAACTAAAAAAAAAAAGACCTCCTAAAACCTCATAAAGAGAGATGTCAAATGTTGAAAAAGGCATGATTATTACCTTTTCTACTGCTTCCAGAATATTGCCCTTATTGTTTAACTCATTGGCCAGGCTCAGACAACAGTTAAAAGCTTCCTTGTCTAGGCATATGAGTGCCAGTCACTGGAAAACATCTCTCACCCGAGTTACACCCACATTCTTAGCTGTCAGCAATATTGCACAATCATCTGGGCAGCCAAATCCAACTGGAAAATGACCAGATCTGATATTCGAGATAGATATGCACCTGGTATATCACTTTCTACTGGTAAAGCTCCCCACACTGGTACTACTCTGAGTGATAGGACATGATTGACTAATAGATAAACTGTATATAAAATAGTAGATAGAGTACTCAGAGAGGCCAATGTCCAGAAATGGCTAGCCAAATCAAGACTCAAGCTCAAGCCTGAGCATGTGGTAAAGAGATTGAAATGGGCTACTATTTATAAAGATTGGATAGTAGAGGATTTTGAAGGAGTGATCTGGTGTGATGAGTACAGTGTGGAGAAATTCAAGGATCCAAGGTAGCAATGGGCTTTTAGAGAACCTGGAGAGAAGTGGCTATCTAATTGTATCCATCCAAAGGAGAAGAATAAGGGAATATCTCTCATGGTTTGGGGCTGCTTTTGGGGTAAGAGAAAAGGCCTTTTGGTTCCTATTACCCAAAATGTCAACAGGATCAGGTATGTTAGGCTCTTGAAAAGATATCTTTTTCCTGTTATTCATCAAATGATCTCTTTTGGTATGCAAGATATCCTCTTTCAGCATCATAATTCTCCTGTTTATAAAGCTTATAGTGTTATGGATTGGTTGGAGAGAAACTGCATTGAAGTGGAGGAACACCCCCCCACTCTCCTGATTTAGATCCTATTGAGCATGCATGGGTTGAGCTTAAAAGGTGATTGTATGAGCAGCACCCTAGGATTGCAGATACCCTAGAAGGAAAGGAAGCTGCAAAGAAGAGGTTGGCCAAGGCCTTACCCTTAGTTTGGGAGAAAATTCCTGAGGAGTTTTTTGAGAAGTTGTGAAAATCAATGCCTAGTAGAGTGGCTGCAGTTTTGGACACAAGAGGAGGCTATATAAAGTATTAGATAGTATCAAGGTTCTTTATTTCAAATTTCTATAATTAAATTTACAATGGGTTGTTTTTGTGGTTGGCTTGCCCATTTATTCCTTTTCTTATTCACTCCTGTGCACATATGCATATCCTTCTTACCATTGACACCACAACCCGACTAACCCACTACTGGCCCTACTATAGTGCAATCGCAATTGACTACATGTCTGAGATCACAAATGCTTCTGACTAGTGGCTATAGTTACATTCAATAAGTAC